TGAAGTGTTTGCTGAAATGATATTCGTTCACGGATTCATACATGGCGATCCACATCCCGGAAATATACTAGTTTCTCCTCGAGGCAACAATGGCTTCTCTCTAGGTTTGTAATTCTCTTCTTGACATCTCTCACTGCTTCCAAATTCTAATCATAAAAACTGATATATCTCCTTCAAAAGTTCTGCTAGACCACGGGAACTGTAAAACATTGGATGAAGGATTTAGACTAGACTTTTGTCGACTATGGGAGGCTCTGATTCTTCTGGACTCAAAGAAGATACAAGAATTAGGTAAACAGTTTGGTGTTGGCAAATATGCCAAATTCTTCCCTGTCATTTTTACCGGAAGAACTAGTGAAAGGTAACTACTAGACACTAGACAGTGTTTTACATTTTCGGTTTCGCGAAAAACGGTCTTGATCTTTGTTTTTGGTGTTGGTGATAGCAAATCAGGACTAGGAAAAGGAATGTCTATACAAGAGAGGCAAAAACTGAAACAGGAGCTCAAGCTTTTGAAATTAGAAGATGTCACTACTTTCATGGGTTCTCTTCCACCTGACTTTCTCACCGTACTGCGAACAGAGTAACAATCCTCACTCTTTCTCGGGTTTTATTAGTAATTGATTCTTGAGAAATACCCTTAAAGTGTACCCAAACAAACTAGAATGACGAAAATAGCATCGTAAATTTTTGTGTGACCAAAATGGCATAAATAATTTTGTGAAAAAAACATTTGTTTACCCTAATTATATATTTATATATCATGTAAAATTAAATCATTGTGTTTGGGTTCCTTTTTCCTAAATTAGGGTTTAGGGTTTAGAAAAAAAAGTTGAATTATTTTTATGTTGAATATTAGTCAATATTTTGGTCGTACCAAGTTTGTTTTGGTCCATTTTGGTCATTGTCTCTTTATCCATGACTTACTAATTCCTTGTTTTTGCTGTATTAAAGTGGACTCATACGGTCAATCACTTTGAAGTTAGGTGCTCCACAACGAGTGAGACTACTCGCTTATGCGAAATCTGCGGTTTATGGGCTCGGCTACAACCTTGTTTCTGAACCAGGTAATCAGAAGTTACTGTCATCAATTTATTAACTTATCTATTCAATTTTACATGGATGAAGCTAAAATGTAGATTTTTTTTTCTTTTTCTTTTTGCTATTTCCAGATTTTGTTGACAAGTCGATAACCTCTAGATCTCTTATGTTGATGAGTTACCTTCGGTTACGTCTTGTTTTGGGTAAAGAAACAACTAATCTATAAATAATAAAGTTTATACTTAAAAGCTCTGTGTGTAAATTTTTGAAATATTTTTTATGGTTTCAGAGTTGGTGGAGCTTTTTCAAGGAATGAAGAAGCTGAAACATACAATCTATACTTTATATGAACGAATTATCAACGGTATCACAAAAAATGTAAAGGTCTCGAGTGCATTATAGATAGAAATTATAAGATCGATTCTTTGGCATATTTGATAATGCGACTCTCGGAGCTAATCAGAGCCAAAAACCCAATTATGTTTGTTGGTTGATTATTCCTTATTCGTCCATATAAAATATGTAACACCCCTAATTCCTCGCATTTCTTTATTTGATCCCCGGATTTAAAAACTTGCGATCACATAGAGTCATGAGCATATAATTTGGCCAGTGAGAATCGCACTTTTGCATTAACCAATCTGTAGCCACTAAAACTAACACAAAACGAAAATCATTCAGCATCTTTGATTCGCTCATTGTTTTGGGGAGATCCAATCATAGTCTTTTCACAAAACAATAAAGAGATTCACTTATTATCATTAGTCATTCTTGGATATGGAAGGAAGGTTTTGGTGATATATGTTTGAATTTTGTCATCGTTGGCCGTGTTATTAATTAATTCCGCTACAAATCTTATTATATAAAGTTGGATGCGCGCGTGGTTGCAACACGTAGGATTTTTATAAAATATAGGATCGTGACATGTGTCACTTTTAAGATTATGTCCGTTAAGATCGTGACACATGTATTAGGGGAAAAAATATTTTTAAAAATACTAGAAAAGGATAATTAAAAAAACGAAATTTAATCTATTATATTAAAAAAAGTAAAATTAATATTTGTCATATCCTAACAGAAAAAGGTTTTCCCATTTATCAAATTTATATTATCCAAACACATATCTTATTATATAAAGCTAGATGGTTGCGACATGTAGGATTTTTATAATTTATAGGATCGCGACATATGTCACTTTTTAATGTTACGTCTGTTAAGATCATGACACGTGTCTTGGGAAAAAAAAACAAATAATTAAAAAATGTTAGAAAAAGGAAAATTAAAAAAAAATCTATTAGAGTAAAAAGAAGAAAAATCATATTTTTCATATCATAATAGAAAAAGTTTTCTCATTCATCAAATTTATATTGTCCAAACACATATTAAAATTCAAAATAATGTAATAAATAAAATCCTATTTGTACATTAGGAAAAATCAGAAAAAAAAGAAATAAACAATTAAAAAGAAAAAATTATTACATCCATTAGGAAAAGTAAAGAAGAAACATAATCCTATTACGAAAAGGAAAAAAAAACGAAAAATCAGAAAATTATGAAGAAATAATTAAAAAATTGTTACATCCAATAAGATAAGGAATAAAAAAACATATTCCAAATACGAAAAGGAAAATATAACAAGCTATATTTTTTTAAGTTTCTTTCTCATTAAGAAATAAAAAATCATGTTTTAAAAGTTCAAGATATCAATGAAGAATAATTAACTTTAGATCGCTACATGTGTCTAATATTTGATCTGGTGATTGACATATGTCAACACAATAAAATTGGAAAAATGTAGTAACATAAATAAATAAACTAACAAAATAATTTAAAAAACTAATTAATAATGAAAATGAAAATTTATAATGGTAAGAGGCAAACACAAAATTGAAAAAGAAACAATATAAATAGAAAACTAATAAAATAATTATCAAGGAATTAAATAATATTAAAAAGAAAGTTTTATAATGGACCAATCTTCTAATATTAAATAGTTAAATTTTCCATTTTTTTGTTAGATAAAACAATATTAAAAAAAATCATCAATATTTAGAATAAAGTTTCAGCAATGGAATAATCAAAGTTTCATAAATTAACGAGTCCATTAGATTTAGACACATGTAAGCTTTTCTATTTCATATCATGAATTCAAAATTAAAATGTAAAAATATTACATATCTTAGTTTATTTAGAGATTTATTATCGGGTTTTTAATATTATTTTACTTATTTTTAAAAGTGATCAAATTTTGTTTAATATTCTTCATGATTTTTATAAAAGGAAATTAAAATAAACCCGCGTATACGCGGGGCCTAATCTAGTTATATATATATATATATATATATATATATTATATAATACCTTATTATGTTAATCCTTTTGAAAAGAACCTATGTTTTCTTTTTAAAAAAATTTACCGATAAATTTAGGAAATTATCATGAAAATAATTAAAGTGACCAAACTTTTAAATAACTTAAACTTTGACTAATCTTTGACATTTTAAATATAGTTTAAAGATAAATCATAAACTTCTTGCATAAATATGGATGATATTTTCAATGCGACATGGTATTCTCAAGTAATATTTGACAAGGTGATGTGATTTTGTAAACAAGGTGATTACAGAATATATATATATTGGCAATTAGCTTTATGAGGTCGAACTAAGCTACATGTTTCCGAATAAGACTTTGTTGACATTACCACAAAACACATCACCACCTGTAGATTTTGGATTTCGAAGGTAATTGGATGACTATTTGGAATAATTAAAAACAGAGTCGGTGCAATTATGTGTCGAATTAAAGGGTTTGGAGAAAGTTGAAGATGAGAAAGAGAACAAAGAGGATGACAAGGAGGAGGAGGAGGATGATGAGGATGAGGATGACATGTTATATTGGTGTGATGATTCAGAAGGAGCATCCTCGGGTGATGATGACTTTACTCTTCATAATTTTTCTTATTCTCTACACCTTCAAGAGCCAACCCATGAAAAGTAAAGTCCTCATCACCCGAGGATGCTCCGTCTGAATCATCACACCAATCGAACATGTCATCCTCATCCTCGTCATCTTCATCCTCGTCCTCGTCATCCTCTTTGTTCTCTTCATCATCTTTAACTTTCTCTAAATCTTTTGTTTTTAGTTCGACACCGAGTCGCACCGACTCTGTTTTTAGTTGTTCCAAATAGCAATTCAATTCCCTTTGAGATCCAACATCTATATGCGGTGTGTTTTTTGGTAATACTTCATGAGAAATTATATATATATATATATATAAAGATATTCTATATAATGTCAACAAAACTTTCTTCGGAAACATATAACTCAGTTCGACCTCATAAAGCTGATTGTCGATATCATATTCTGTAATCAACTTGTTTACAAAATTGCCAAAAGCAGTTTCTTCATTAGAATATCTGTTTAGTCAAAAATAGAATATCTTTTATTTATAGATTTCTATCATTTTGTTATTTTTAGGTAAGATAAAATTTTGTATATATATATATAATATTTTTATTGCATATATATATGTAATATTTTTAGTGCATATATATATATATATTATTTTCTCTATACTTTTAAAAAATATATATTAACAGTTTTCTTTATATTACAATTATTACAAATTCCATCTTTCTAGATCTTCAAAATTTTATATATGAAAAAATTAAGAACGAGATAAGAAGACTTTAAAATCGAGAGACAAACCTGGATTCCTTGATGGAATTTAGACTGATTCACGACTCACTCCCATATCCAAATCTAATGAATTTTTTTCGCAATGTCCAAATCCAATTAATTTTTTCGTTGAGCATGAGAACTCAAATTCTAGATTTCTTAGATTCTTTTGTCTTTATTTGAAAATCTGATAGATCTAACACAACATCATTAAACGAAAAGTAAATCTATTGATAACAATAACAAAGAAATATACTCCTTATCAATCTGAATGATAAATTTTTCAAAACATTTCACATAAATATTTTAATCATAAAATATATAAATTATCAAAATTAAGCAGTTGGCTATGATTCTAAACCAATAGTAATCCAAAAAACATAATTATCATCAATTATTATTTCTTGAATTCTGAATTTTGTAGTATTGAATGATAAAAGTGCATGAAAAACTTACAAAAATTATCTTTGAGAAACAAGAATAAAATGGTAGAAAATCATTATTCAACAGAGGAAATAAACAATATAATAGATCTATTTACACTTACATAAATGTTGGATCTCCTATTCGTTCTGCTACCACGAAGAGAAAAACTGATTGCGACAGCTCAACCTGATGAGACATCTCTTATTTACAAATGGTGTTGTTGTCCCTGAAATCTCACACAAATTCCCATGAGATATAACAAAAAAAAATATATATATATATATATATATCAGAGATTTCTTGTATACAAGGTACCGCCGTCAAGATCTTATTACGATTTAGCGAATAGCAGACCTTATATAGAGTTCTAATTAACCTAAAAATATTGAATCACTAGAACGACATCGTATAGAAAATGAGATATCTAAAAGAGTTAACCAGCCCATAATAAGCATGTATAAAATATATATATCCAAAATAACATTGAAAATTTTTTTTGACAAATTAATGGGTAATAAAAATACAAAACCCATGACAATAACCCAAATGGGCTTGGATTTGAGAAGAAACCCTAAAATCAGACCCGGGTACCAAACTGGTTGAAACCGGGGAAGAAACAAAACTGGACAGAACAAGCCACTCCACCACGACCTTGCCGTCAACTTACCTCCAGATCTACCTAGACCACATCCCTAATGTAACAGCCCGGCTCACCGGCCCACCGCCGGCCCGGTACTGTTAGGGCTGCAGCCCAATACACCCCAACCCCTCCGGTGTATAAGGCCATTGCCACTATATCAACCTAGGTTGTTGGTGAGACTCGAACCTGAGACCTCACCCTTTAAGTAGCCTTCCCTACAGGAAGCTACCACCAATTTACCTGCAGATCAATCTCGACTCATACTTTGTGGTATAGAATTGTTGTTGTGTATTGTCTGTTAGTCATTTTTATCTGTGATAGTCTTGTGGAGGTTCTCAACGCAATTGAATGTGTAGGGACCTTGTTAGTGGGCGGTTTTGAGTCCCACGTTTTATTCGACTCTGGAGCATCGAATTGCTTCATTACACCGGAGCGTGCCGAGAAGAGTGGCATCCGGAGTAGCGCGGGCGAGAGCGCGGGCATGGTCAAGGTGGCGGGAGGTGGATTCTTGTCTACTTTGGGCCGTGCTAGAGGAGTCGAGATCGAGATTGCGGGGCAGTCAATGCCAGCAGACTTAGTCATCAGTCCGGTGGAGCTGTATGACGTTATTCTCGGGATGGACTGGTTGTCACACTACAGAGTTCATCTGGATTGCTACAGAGGTAGAGTGGTCTTCGAGCGAGATGCAGGGAGGTTGGTTTATCAGGGAGTGAGACCGACTTCCGGGAGTATTGTGATATCTGCTATTCAGGCCGAGCAGTTGTTAGAGCGGGGCTGTGAGGCGTATCTGGCGACGATTTCTATGTCTGAGTCAGGAGCTGGAGTTGTTATGGGAGATATTGAGGTTGTCCAGGATTTTGAGGATGTCTTTCAGTCACTGAAGGGATTACCACCATCTCGGTCTGATCCTTTCACGATTGAGTTAGAGCCGGGGACAGCACCGATATCGAAGACGCCTTACAGGATGGCGCCAGCTGAGTTGGCAGAGCTGAAGAAGCAGATAGAGGACCTTTTGTCTAAGGGGTTCATTCGACCAAGTGTTTCACCGTGGGGAGCACCGGTGTTGTTTGTGAAGAAGAAGGATGGCAGTTTCAGACTTTGTATCGATTACAGAGGTCTTAACCGAGTCACTGTGAAGAACAGGTACCCACTCCCGAGGATTGATGAGTTGTTGGATCAGTTGAGGGGTGCTACTTGGTTCTCCAAGATTGACTTGGCATCGGGGTATCATCAGATCCCGATAGATGAGGCAGATGTCAGGAAGACTGCTTTCAGGACGCGTTATGGGCATTTTGAGTTCGTGGTTATGCCTTTCGGTTTGACTAACGCGCCGGCAGCCTTCATGAGATTGATGAACGACGTGTTCAGGGAGTATTTGGACGTGTTCGTCATCATTTTCATTGATGATATTCTGGTATACTCGAGGAGTCAGGAGGAGCATGCGACTCACTTGAGGTTGGTTCTGGAGAAGCTTCGGGAGCAGAAGCTTTTTGCTAAGTTGAGCAAGTGCAGTTTCTGGCAGCGAGAGATGGGATTTCTTGGCCACATTGTTTCTGCAGAGGGAGTTTCTGTGGATCCGGCTAAGATTGAGGCTATCAGAGATTGGCCTAGACCTAGTAGTGCCACCGAGATCAGGAGTTTTCTGGGTTTGGCAGGATACTACAGGAGGTTCGTCAAGGGGTTTGCTACCATGGCGCAGCCGATGACGAAGTTGACCGGGAAGGATGTCCCGTTTGTTTGGTCAGCTGAGTGTGAGGAGAGCTTTAGTCAGCTCAAGGAGATGTTGACTACTACACCAGTGTTGGCGTTACCCGAGCCAGGGAAGCCTTACATGGTGTATACAGATGCTTCAGGCATTGGTCTTGGTTGTGTGCTGATGCAGGAGGGCAGAGTGATAGCATATGCTTCGAGACAGTGGCAGGGCAGTGAGCGTAACCGTCCTACACATGACTTAGAGTTGGGAGCAGTGATCTTCGCGTTGAAGATTTGGAGGTCTTACTTGCTAGGTGAGACAGTACAGGTCTTCACGGATCACAAGAGTTTGCAGCATATCTTCACTCAGCCGATGATGAACGCGAGACAGACGCGCTGGGTTGAGTTCTTGGCGGATTATCAGGTGAGCATTAACTACCATCCGGGCAAGGCTAACCTAGTGGCGGACGCGTTGAGTAGACGGAGGTATGATTCCGCAGTTGAGCGAGATGTGGAGTCTCTAGTTGGCGAGATCAGTACCTTGCGTTTGTGTGCCATTTCGCAGGAGCCTTTGGGTTTAGAGGCAGTGGATCAGGCGGATCTACTTAGCAGGATCAGAGTTGCTCAGCAGAGTGATCAGAGTTTGCTGGATGCGACGAGAGTGACTGGTTCTGAGTATGAGGTCTCTGCGAATGGGACTATCTTGGTTCGTGGGCGAGTTTGTGTGCCTAAGGATGTGGAGTTGAGACATCAGATTTTGGGAGAGGCTCACGCGAGCAAGTTTTCCATTCATCCGGGAGCGACCAAGATGTACCATGACCTCAAGAGGTACTATCATTGGGTCGGGATGAAGAGGGATGTAGCAGACTGGGTTGCGAAGTGCAACACTTGTGCCTTGGTGAAGGCAGAGCATCAGGTTCCGGGTGGTCTTTTGCAGAGTTTACCCATTCCAGAGTGGAAGTGGGACAGGATTACGATGGATTTCGTGGTTGGACTACCTGTTTCGAGGACTTTCGATGCTATCTGGGTGATTGTGGATCGGTTGACTAAGTCCGCACATTTCTTGGCCATCAAGAAGACAGATGGAGCTGCTGTCTTGGCTAGGAAGTTTGTGCGAGAGATTGTGAGGCTGCATGGAGTGCCAGCTAGTATTGTGTCAGACCGTGATCCCAGATTCACTTCAGAGTTTTGGAGGGCGTTTCAGGCAGAGATGGGCACTAAGGTGCATTTGAGTACAGCTTATCATCCGCAGACAGATGGTCAGTCAGAGAGGACTATTCAGACTTTGGAGGATTTGCTGAGGATGTGTGTGTTGGATTGGGGTGGCCATTGGGCAGATCACCTGAGCTTAGTTGAGTTTGCATACAACAACAGCTTTCAGGCGAGTATTGGCATGGCTCCATTTGAGGCTTTGTATGGGAGGCCATGTAGGACACCCCTATGCTGGACCCAAGTGGGGGAGCGCAGCATGTATGGAGCTACTTATGTTCAGGAGACGACAGAGAAGGTTCGTGTTGTGAGGCTGAACATGAAGGAGGCTCAGGATAGGCAGAAGAGTTATGCAGATAGACGCAGACGAGAGCTTGAGTTTCAGGTTGGAGATAGAGTTTATCTCAAGATGGCTATGTTGAGGGGTCCTAACAGATCCATAGCAGAGAACAAGCTGAGTCCGCGATTTATGGGTCCGTTTCCAGTAGTGGAGCGAGTTGGGCCATTAGCTTACAGGCTGGAGTTGCCTGAGATTATGAAAGCCTTTCACAAGGTTTTTCATGTGTCGATGCTGAGGAAGTGTCTTCATCCTACAGAGGAGTTAGTGGCTAGGATTCCAGAGGATCTTCAGCCAGATTTGACAGTGCCGGCAGTGCCTGTGAGGATTTTAGAGAGGAGGGAAAAGGTTCTGAGGAACAAGAGGATTCCCTTACTGAGGATTTTGTGGGATTGCAGTGGTTCTACAGAGGAGACTTGGGAGCCAGAGGCAAAGATGAAGTTGAAGTTCAGGAAGTGGTTCGACAAGCAGGTCGAGGAGTGAGCTTATTTCATCTTTGTAGCCTCAGTTGTTATTTTTGGCTTTGGTGTTATTGTATTTTCGTTTTCGTTGTAACGATATACATTTTGGAGTTTTAATGAGATGCAGTTTTTCCTCATTTTGTCTTGTGTTGTGAAATGGTTTCGGATGTTACACATGTGTTTGACCAGTTTTTGGTTGTGAGACGGTCTAATCTTATGGTTATAGACGTTTTCCAGAATTTTTACTCTAAGGATTGCGATTCTGAATAACTCATCATGTTTTTGGAGACTTCGTTCTCTGGCAGACTCTCTGGGTGCAAGTAGGCCTCAGTTGAGTGTAGCTTATCTGGGTGCAAGTAGGCCTCAGTATAAGCAGTTTGTTCATCTGGGTGCAAGTGGGCCTCAGTATGGACGGTTTCGGGTTCGTCTGGGTGCAAGTGGGCCTCAGTGCGGACCGGTGTGGACTTGTCTGGGTGCAAGTGGGCCTCAGTACAAGTGGTTTGTGTGTTTTGGATGATGAGTTAGGAGTGAAAATTTCTTGGAACGTGTTTATGACATAAGATATGACGTTTGTCTCGGGGATCAGGTGAGGATCTCCAGTGTTGCGGCCTTGCGAGGTCGGGTTTTGTGGTCTTTGTGACGTTTGTTTTGGGATTCGAGGACGAATCCAGTTTAGTGGGGAGAATTGTAACATCCGTAACCAAAGAATTGTGATTTTTCTTTAGTGTCGGTCGACACCAATGGTTAAAATCGATTTCTGGTTCAATTTAAGTCAATTGAAATCCGGTTTAGGCCCGGTTTAGGGCGGAAACCCTTGGGTCTTGGATAAAAGTCGCGCAGCCGCTCCTCTTCTCTGGGTTTTTGTCGTTTTGTGGCGATTTTGGAGAGGAGAAGAGATTGAGGCGATTTGGGGTGTTGATCGATCGATTCGAGGCTGGTTCGTCGTGTTTGGAGCCTGCGTCGTCGTTGGTGGCTGCTGCGTCGTGTTCTTCGTGTTCTTCATCTCATCTTTGATTTACCCTCTTTTCAACTAGAATCGAGGTGAGTGCATGACTGTGGGTCCGTGATTGCTAGATTCAGGATCTGTATGTGTTTATGTGGTGATTTCGTGATGATATTGATGTTTGATTCAGTGTTTATGGTTGTTTGATTGATTTCCTGTGAATTTCGAGTTTCGGGTACTGTTCATAGCCCGATCTGGGTTTTTCCAGAATCGGTGTCGGTCGACACCAAGCTTGGTGTCGGTCGACACAGACCGGTTAACTCTGGTTAAAATCAATTTAATTGGTTTAATTGAATTTGGCTGGTTTAAATCAATTGGAATGGTTTAATCGATTTTGGTTGGTTTAATTCGTATTTAATTAATTAATGAGTATTTTAATTAATTAAATGGTTTAAAATAATTAAATAATTATTTTAAAATATGGAAAATTATTATTTAATTATGAGAATTATTTAATAATTGAGAAATTGAGTTTTAATTATTAAAAATTATTTAATAATTGGAAAATGGTATTTAATAATTATTGGAGTTTATAATATTATTAAATATCTAGTAATTGCGTAAATGGCTCGTAGGCAGAGTGATTGCCTCACTAAGTATTTATTAAATACTTACGCAACTCCATTCCAATGTGTTGCAGGTAAAAGATTTGTGTGATCGCGGAATCAAGGCTGAAGAGGGGGATGATAGGATGTTTACTGTTTTATTGTTTTGCTTTATTTGACTTGCTAGTACCTGGTGTTTAGGTTGCTAGTATTTCCTTTAATTATTTATTTGAATTTATTTGTTGAACCTGATTTATTATTTATTTATTTATTTAAAGACTTCCGCTGAATTGTTATTTAATTTAATTTATATAAAAAAAAAATGTTGGTTGTTTCAGAAAATGTAAGTGCACTTTGTTGACATAGGTAGCTAAATCAATTTTCTTAAGACTCTCCTCATTTATCACAAACCGGGATGTTACAACCTCAACAAAGAAGGGCTCTAAAAAATTGACACATCATCATGTTATTTGATAATTTTTAAAATTATCTAATTAATTAATTCTGTTTTTATTGTTAACATTTATTTTTCATAATAATTACTCCATCATACATTAATTTAATAGGTTAAGCTAGAGTTTAAAAAGATATTTTTTTTGTAAAAGATAACTTATGTATTTACTCATCTTAAGAAAACTATAATTTCATAATTTTAGTTTTACACTTCTATTTATACAAGTTTATCAAATTATTTTGCTTCAAATGAATCACCTACTAAAATATTGATATTTCATATTTATTTGACTTATTTTGTTCTCTTTTATTATACTTTAATTATCATATATTAATATATTAATTTTAATAACAAGTTGAAAATTTTTTATAAACCAAAAATCTGATATATTGTTATAAAAACTAAATTTAACAACTTTAATTTTGTAAAATATAATTATACAGTTTTATAATATTTATGAAACAAAAGGAGATGGGACATGAAAGAATATGATGAAAAAGAATATGATGCGGTGAGACAGGAGAAGAATGAATAAGACAAGAGGGAGCTGGAAAAAAAATAATGAGATAGAACGAGAAGGAACATGATGGGAAAGAACGGGATGGAAGGAGAAAGAACGGTGTGAGATGAGACAAAATGGAATGAAACGGGAGATGACAGGAAAGAACAGGATGGAAAGAAATGAGATATGACGAGAAGGAAAGGAACAAGACGGTGTATAACGGATGGGAAAGAACAAAACAGAACTTATACCCATAATTTTTTTTAATTACTACGCATATGATATTTTTGAAATACAAAATTAAATTAATTCAAAAAGGAGAAAGACTATGTATAGATCTACAAAACTATTATTTAGTAAACTTATTTTTTTGTCAGTTTATATAGTTTACGTTGATGTCAAGATATTATATAAAGAACACAATTTTTAAAAGTATTTTGAGATTAAATGAGACGAGACCGGACAGGACGAGACGAAAAAAACTGAACGAGAGAAGACGAGAATTTTGCCTACTTATTATATTAAGTGACGAGGCAGAATGTAAAGAAATGTAAAGAGACGAGATAGGACAAGACGGGAATTTCATTACCTCAAATTATATTTAGGGACGGAACATGAAGAAACGAAAGGAACATGATGAGATAAGACAAGGCAAAAAGAAATAGACTGGAATAGGATAGGACAGGACGGGATGAGATTGACAGATTGGACAGGACGAGAAAAAAAAAAGGGAATGAGATGGGAATAGACGGGACGGGATGAAAAGGATATAATAGGACAAGAAGGGACAAGATGAAATTTTTGCCTACCTATAATTATATTAGGGACAGGACAGAGACACGACAAAACGAAAAAAAAAAAATATAATAAGATAGGATAGGACTGGACAGGCGAACATGACGGACAGGACAAACATGACGGGGAAAGAACGGGAAAAGATGAAAAGGAACGAAATAGGACTAGGCGGGAATTTTGTCTACCCTTAGTTATATTTAGGGAACGGGACGAGAAGAAACTGAAAAACAAGATGGGACATAACAAAATGGAAAAGAGCATAATAAAATAGGATGAAATAGGACAGGACGGGAAAGAACGGACATGATGAAAATGAACGAAATAGGACGAGATAGGACATGATGGAACTTTAATTTTGCCTAACCCTAACTATATTTAATTAATATATGTATAATATTTTTAAAATAATAATAAACCATAAAATTATATAAAAAATTAAATTAACACAACAATATAAATTCCCGCATGAAGCGTGGGTCACCTCCTAGTAAACATATATTAGTAACCTAAAAAAAGCGAAATCAACTTCCAGACTCGACAAAGTGAATTAAAATATATCACATTAGGTGTATAGATGATTACCTTATCATCACATTAAAGATTAAATGAAGAAATTCTTTTAGTGAGATTACTTAGAAACGGTGTAGCTATGGCATAAGCATGTGTATGACCCAACAGTCTCCATCTTCTCATTTAGCAAAGGAAATGTAGCTGATTAGATATCACTGTGTCACCGGTTGTTGACAGATTTGAACATATTTTTTGTTTGCTTCTCTTTCTACTAGACTGGATTAGAGAAAATAAGTTGTATTGTGCACTGTGTGGCTTGTTTCAACAGGGAAGAACAATAATATCTTAAATCTCTATAACTGTTATTGATTTGGTCACAAACTCTGATTATGAGACAACACAAAGTGACAAAACTATTCCAGGATTATGTGCCTAGCTCTTTGCATATAGTATCTATCCAGGATTTACTGCAAGTGCAACAGATTGAAAAGCTGAAAAAAGAAACGGACTTTGATTTCACACAGAAACTATTCAAAATCGTTTTGAAATTCATGGGTCAGTTCAATTGATGGGTAAATTGGGTTGGGTTAAAATGGTTAAAATTATATTGATTTGATGAATTGAGATGGTTAACCTATTATAATTTTTTACTTTACCAAAATCAGAAACTGGCCCGGTTCTAGGGGTGGTCCAGTGGTATGTGGGCTATGAGTCCATCTTAAATTTTCGAATTTCTCAAAGGAAAAAAGCACAGTTTTTTTTGTTTTTTTTTTTCAAAAAAAAATTCCATGAAAAGGACAATTTTTTTTATTTTTATTTTTACAAAAAAATTCCCTATAAAAGACCCATAATATTTTTTTGCCTAAGGCTTTCTAAAGACTTGAGTCGGGCCTGATCAGAAACCACATATTTCTCTTTTCTTCTTTGATCTCTTTCTCCTTCCTTCAGAACACGATTTGATCTCTCCTCTCCTTCGATCTCGATCTTATCTCTCCTCTCCTTAATCAGAACACGATTTGATCTCTCCTCTCATTCGATTGCGATCTTATCTCTCCTCTCCTTAATCAGAACACAATTGGTTTAGGGTTTAGGGTTCTCTCCTCTCCTCAATCAGAACACGATTTGATCTCTCCTCTCCTTCGATATCTCTATCACTCTAGACTCTCTCGCAAATCTCTATCTCGCTGGACTCACTCGCCATCTCCGTCTCTTTCTCCTTGTATCTCTATCGTTCTCACACTCCCTCTCAGACCAGAAGCCGGAGTTCATGCTTTCATAGGTACTGTGAAAATGGATTGTAATTGTTTCTCTGGAATTGGGGATTATCCAATTGAAATTTCTGAGTGCAATGGTGTTCTATTAATGGCGAAAATAGAATTGGATTTGATGTAAATTTGAGTAAAACAGAATTTGATGATAATGGGGAATATATATTTGATTGTTGCTTACTGCATTATAGAAATATAGTAATTGAAAGTTGTTTCTTTTTCCCTACCTTTTTTGCTATATCGTTAAAATGTATCGTTTTTTTTACTCAGATATACCATTTTCATTCAAATACTACTAATGATTATTACATTATGTCTCTTTTTCAAGCATAGGACCAATCCAAGCTGGAATACTACGTATCGTTTAAATCTGTTGAACTACTCTGATCTCAAAAGGAAGCTCTATTTATATAACTAGGTATTTTATCCGTGTTACGCGCGGTTCCGTTTTTATGTTTTCTTAAAACTTTTTCTATGAATTTTCTAATTTTTCATTTTTTTTTTGAAATCGTTGATACAAAATCCTTTAATTTTTAATTTTTATTTTTAATAATTTTCTTTTATAGTTATATATAACCAATTCTCCAATTTTGGGTTCGGGAGTTAGTTTTGTCACATTTTGGGTTTAGTTATCATTGTGAAATTAGAAACTCATTATCTTCACCTTAGAAATGCAAATATTAATATTCATAAATGCGACTCTTTTGCCACTCTTTTGCGACTCTTCAAAATCATAAATCCCTATATCCCTTTTATCACCCTCGGTCCTACATAAAGTTGGTAAAACATAGAATTTATGCCATGAAAAGATATATAAAACTTGAAGGCCAATATTACTAAATGTTCCTTTAGCTTATTGGCAGTTTTGCTCTTCATTCTTCTCAATGTGGATGGTTTGAAAAAACTCTCCAACAATAAACTCTTCAATCTATCATTATTTTTGATTTAATAACTAAATAAATTGACTCAAAAAATAATATATTTTAAAATTTGAGGCCACCAATAATCTTATGCCGACCTTGATCACCCTATTTCTCATGTGCTTTAATTAGATGCACACTACCAAACATTCAGAATTTTAGAGATTGCATGTCCTTGAAGATCACAATTCATACAAAATCCTCTTAGCACCAAATATCCCTAATATATTAAAAGAGAAAACACTATAAAATAAACCTTTGTCTCATGTGTTATTAACAGAAATGCCATGCTGATGTGTCAACACCAGGTTCACTTTCAAGGTTAGTTTTAATTAAGACAAACATTACTAGACTAATTACATGTTATGCCATTCATATTTGGTTAGAGAATGAAATATATATGATTAATTTAGTCAGAAAAATAATTATTAATGAAAATTATTTTCTTTCAGTTTCCTTATTTGGTAATGACGAAAATTTATTTATTAGTCAATCAATCAGTAAAATATGGAAAGTTTTATTCAATTGTATTATATTAATTGTTTAAAAATTAATTTATTCATCTATCATTTTTGTTTAGCTTTACTTTCAAGAATAAATTATATCATCACATCAAAATATTTAAAAAAGAAAATTAGTTTTTTTTACATATGCTATGGTTTGAATTTTTAAAAATGAAGCAAATCTCTAAAAATGTTAAATGTCCCACATGATTATATTTTGGGATAATAGTTCAAAAACCTATTATAAAATAGGATCCAAATAATGATCAACCATAATCACAAATAGGAAAGAAAAATTTACCATGTTTGGAAATCTTTAAAATTTCTTTTATTCGATTTAATTTGATTCTTTAATTGAATTAAATAATTAAATCGTATTTTTAATATTTTGGTTTGATCAAAATTTTAAACGTAATAAATTCTAATAACTTATCATATAAGTTAAATTATTTTAGTTATTTAAAATTGATAAAAACATAAAATATATATGCCATTTTATATTTATCAAAATATAAAATTATTTTAAATGTATTAAAATTTAATATATATGTGGGTTCGGAAAGGGAGAAACTGTTGTTAAAGCAAATGTTAGATTACCACACTGTAAACGATGACAAAAATCAAACCAGGCTAAAAAAAAAAAAATAAAAATGCAATCTATGCATCACTCAAAATTTCGTCTAATGTAAATTGACATTTTTTTAATTGTCTAACACTCTATGTTCCTAAAATTGTATGTAAATAGACATCTTTTAATAAAATCAAATTGAGAAAATATCATCCCGTGCAAGGCGCGGGTCAAACTCTAGTTTCTAATAATTTAAAAACATCCATTAGTTAGACTTAATTAGCTCCATGTTTCATCCATTAGTTACACTTAATTAGCTCCATTTTCCGATTAATCAATACCTTTCCAAAAACTATAAACAATTGCAGTTTTTAGTTTTTACTTATCTTAAGACAAAATATTATTTTCACTATAATATATGATATAATGCATATAAATCAACAAATTAATAACATGTTGATGCTTAGATACAATTTTTTCAAAATAATACATGAATATGTAACATAATAATAATATACAATTTTAAATATTGTATATTTTATATTAAGAAAAACGAAATTTAAAAAAAAAATCATAGGAAGTAATTTTTCTTTTTATGTCATTAGAAATCTAAATTTTCTATTTTCTAAACACTTTAATATGAATAAAAATAGAATTTATATATATTTTTAAGGTTCTTATATATACCAATCAAATTGATTTTTTTCCTTTTGCTACACTACAACACATTGTTGCTAAAAAAGAAAATTTATTTGTCTAACTACTTAGTGTATTTGCAATGAAAAATGCTTAAAAGAGATGCTTAAATCTAAGACTTTATTAAAATGAATGGTTAAATAGGCCATAATAGATAGTATGGATTTCTTAATCAATTTCCATTAATATAAAAGACATATTCTAATGTTATTTCTTATTAGATAATCTATATAAAATGTACAATTATTAAAATCTAATTAATGGTAAAATATTTGTAAAATAGGATATTTACTCAAATTAATATGTTAAAGTAATAATACTGATGTGAAATTAAAAAAAAATATGGATATTAAAAAAATGGAAATTTGATAATAAGAATAAAGAGGAAATTAAGAAATTAATTATTCAAAGAAAAAAAAAATAGTGACATGGACCGCTTACAAATACTTTACAAATACAGTTTTAGAAAAGGCCTTAAGGTCAATTTTTATTAGTAATAAACTTTGGTCTTTGAATATTTCTTATTTTCCTTTTTCTTATGTAGGTATTGTGTTTTTTTTTTTTTTTTTTTTTTTTTTTGTCAACATCCTCACTTTCTAGAACAGCTCGGGAATCCAAACTAGTGAAACAGAGTTTACATAATACACATCAGTAGGTAGATCTCGAGCACTCTGTGCTAACTTATCTGCCTTCGTGTTGTTCGTCCTGGGTAAGTGCACGATGGAAAACGAGGTGAACCTCATTCTACATTTGTCAATCTCGTCAAGTACGATTGAGAACGCCAGCCACTTCTCAGGTTTAGATACCATCTTCACCATCTTCCGTCTCCTCAGGTATTGTGCTTTATGAAGAAAAATAATAACTCATTGTTTAATTTTTGTTTTTTTGGGTGCAAATTAATTGTTGTCTTTTAGTTTCCATTTTTGGCCTATTTGTGAAGTTTTAGAGGAAACAATAAAAGAAAAAGGAAATCTTCAAAAACAAAACAATATGCTCTGTATATTAATTTTCTCGATCTAAGTCATCATTTTTCCCCAATCCTTCTCATCTCTCTCTCTCTCTTCGGAAATCGGAATCCTCCGACTCTCACGTAAGTTCTCTTCTCTTCTCTTCGTCGTCCTCTTCTTCGTCTCTATCTCGCGCTCGATACCTAATTAAGAAAGCCACACGCGCTCAGTTTCAGTTTCGTTCGTGGATTTGACATCCGCTTGTTTTCTCTGTTGTTACTTCTTCTGTTCGATTTCATTCCCAGGCTAGGTATTTTTTGATTGTAGGTTTTGATTGATCTAGCGAATCTATGAACTGCAGAATTTATTTGCAAGGTTCACAATCCTGGCTGAGTCGAATAGTCGGATCTAATTCTCTCATTAGCTTTTGGATTGTTATGATGTTCAAATGCTTCAATTCCATTGATTTCGAATTAGCTCATGGCAGATCTGATTGTTACTGTGCTTTCTCTTTTTGCGTTGCAGAGGTTTAGGAATATAGCGATGATGATTGGATCGTGAGCTTGATTTGGGATTAACTGTGGATTGGTGTTTAGCGTGTGTAAAATGTGGGTGCCTACTTTGAGCTCAAGCTCATGCTCAAGTGAAGAGAGGGAAGAGAGCAGTGAAGAGCCAAGGCTCACGCCGGTTTATCTCAATGTGTATGATCTTACACCTGTCAACAATTACCTCTATTGGTTTGGGATCGGCATTTTCCATTCTGGAATTGAGGGTATGCTTCTTTCAGTTCTCTTATCTCCTCTATAACTTCATTCACACTGCCTAAAAAGCTTATCTTTATGTGTCTGTATACTTTTGAAGTTGAAGCGTTGGGCTTTTAAAGAAGACAAAATTAGCTGGCTTAATGCTCTAGGCAAGTCTTGCTTTAGGATTTGGATATAGGATTTAACTGAGTTGAAATCTGAAATGAAAACTTTCTCTGATCCTCTATAACTTCATTGACATTGCAAAAAACCTTCTTTTTTATGAGTCTGTATATCCTGAAAACTCATACAACATTGTATACTTAGCACGCTTTTGAAGAGGAATAACAAAATTACACCTGTCTTTAATGGAAACTTTCCCTGATCCATTATAACTCAGATTTTACCTGCTATGTTGTATTGAGCTACTATTAACACAGTATTTTTTATGAATATCAATGTAGCTCATGGTTTTGAATATTGCTATGGAGCTCACGAGTATCCAACGAGTGGGGTGTATGAGGTAGAGCCTAAGAGCTGTCCAGGGTTCATCTTTAGAAGGTCGGTTTTGCTGGGAACAAGCAGCATGTCCCGTTCAGATTTCCGATCATACATGGAGAAGCTCTCAAGAAAATACCATGGTGACACTTACCATTTGATTGCCAAGAACTGTAACCATTTCACTGAAGAAGTATGCTTGCAGCTTACCGGAAAGCCAATTCCAGGATGGATCAATCGTCTGGCCCGAGTAGGTATAAAGATAATCAAACCTTCCTTTTCCCTTGTTCATCTCAAGAAATAAAATCGTGTCCTGTTTTCTTACTCGTTTGGTTTTTGTGTTTCAGGTTCCTTCTGTAATTGTCTTCTACCAGAAAGCATTCAGCTTACAGCTGTTAGTGCTCCTTCTGAACGCCTTGAATTCTCTGGTAAGCTCCTAATTATGATTAACACTGCTTCGAAACGAACCCAACTCTTATGTGTGATCAAACAAAATCATGAATGGCTGTGTATTTCTCCAAATGTAGATGAGGAGGAATCAAACTCGGAGGCATCTTCTGTGTCAGATGAAGAAGGATCAGAGCAGCATCTCATAAATGCAGCTGACAGAGAGGTTGTGTATCTACAAAACAAACCCGTGCGACTTACCAGAGAGGAGACCCCATGAGAAAAACCAGCGACGACTTCCTCTTGAAGCAAGCCAAACCAATCATCGAAACAGAACTTGCAGAGTGTAGCCATGGAGTAGCAAGTGATATCTGGTTTTGTCTCCTTATTGCTGCGTTTGTTCAGTTGGAAAAACCGGTTTAGTATTCTTCTCGGTTTAGGAATGTAAAAAAATACATATTCCAGATTCATTAATGACAAAATCAGAACACCCTTTTGCTGTAAAAGTCGGAAGATTTCTTCACATTTATATTGCTTGCTATCAGTTTTATTTATATTTATTTATTTCTGGGATGAATCTTGCTTTCAATATATTGAATTCTTATCTAAAAACAAAAATTAAACCCTTATTTAATAATTGAGGTTTAAGAATTTAACCAATATGTGAGACCATTAGAATAAATATCTACAGTGGCAAAAAAAACATATATATATATATATATATATATATGGATTAATACTATAAAATATCTATGCTTAGTTAATTACGGTTGGTGTACAAATAAATTCCAAGTGAAGGGATATAAAAAGTACAAAATCTTGCAAAAGAAAGGCTAAAATCTACGAGAGTTTTAAAACTGAAGGAGTCTCATTTAAATTTGATTCCAAATAGGAAAGTAGAAAAACGCTAACAACTTTTTTTTGACTATCATCAATATATATCATCATCTGTCTACACAAGCAATCTCATATTGTAGAGTAAAGAGACGAGAAGAAAAAACGGAATTTTCCGGCGAATTCAATATATTCAGACTCATTAGGATGAGTTCTCGGCGTTGTGGTCTCCTTTTAATGGTGGTCGCCGTGTTATTCTCTACCGTTCCGGTTTCAATCTCTATTCCATTCATAGTGTTTCACGGTAATTAAACTAATCTTTCTTCTTCCTCCTCCTCATAAATGTTGATGCGTTTTTTTTGACTGATAATTAATTAATAAAAAAACAAAAACAGGAATTGGAGATAAATGTTCTGGTGGAGTTAATAACTTCACGCAACTCCTAAGCATCCTCTCCGGCTCTCCTGGCTTTTGCTTGTAAGTTGTAATCAACCACTTAAACACTACACTAAACATGTTTTAATTAAACTCTGTGTTTTGCATCGTTTTAAGGATGATTTTAACTTAATTTGCACAGAGAGATAGGAAACGGAGAGCCAGACTCATGGTTCATGCCACTAACGCGCCAAGCGAGTGTAGCGTGTGAGAAAGTGAAACAGATGAAAGAGCTGAGTCAAGGTTACAACATTGTTGCACAGTCTCAAGGTAACTTAGTCGCTAGAGGCTTAATCGAGTTCTGCGACGATGCTCCTCCTGTCATCAACTATGTCTCTCTAGGAGGTCCTCATGCAGGCATCGCCAAAATCCCTAAGTGCTCTGTATAAATCAAAATTTTACTAAATTTTCTTCTTGGTTTGGATTAATCACGTTTAAATGATTATAACAATGGCTTAATTATGTGTGTCAAGGCTGGTCCATTTTGTGATATAGCAGAAGCTTTGATGAAGTTAGAGATTTATAACGACCTCGTTCAAGTAACAACACTACTCTCTCTATATCTCTATCTCTTTATTCAAGATTAAAAACATTTATATCCTGATTTGATTGGTTATTGACTATGCAGAATATTATTGCTCCTAGCGGTTATGTCAAGATCCCTGGTGTAAGTTAGTTAGCTTAACCAAATCAATTTTGATTAAGGTTTTTCAACCAACACGATGATATTTGGGTTGGGTCGGTTTTCTCAGGAGATGACAAAGTATTTGAAACACTCTAAGTATCTACCAAAGCTAAACAACGAGAGACCTGAGGAAAGAAACTCCACTTTCAGAGACCGTTTCACCAGCTTACACAACTTGGTTCTTGTCATGGTACTTTACTGTCTCAGTTTACTTTCTCAATTACTAGAATGTTCTGAGCCAAAAAAAAGCCTAACTACCAGACCCGGAACCACAACATGTAATATTGGTTTTGTCCCAAGCGCCACTATGACCTCTAAACTTTGTCTAGGGTTCTTTTCTGGTTGAGATAAAACCACTTGGTTACTTTGTCTCAATTTCTTCAACCGAGAGATTGAAAAACCTAATTCTTTCATGCTCATTCTTCTGTTTTCATCTTCTTGATTTTATAAACAGTTCCAGAACGATACAACATTGGTCCCTAAAGAAACTTCTTGGTTCGGATATTATACAGATGAAGGATTCGATTCTCTTCTGTCAACTCAACAGGTGGATCTCCCTCTCTCTTTCTATGTATTTCATCTATTTGTTTTCCTAGAAACTTAATTGAATGTGTCCTTCTTCAGACAAAACTATACATAGAAGACTGGATCGGTCTGAAAGCGTTGGATGCTGTCGGAAAAGTGAAGTTCGTGAGCGTCCCAGGGGACCACCTCATAATAGCGTATGAGGACGTTGTGAAATACGTTGTGCCTTACCTGATGCAGACAAGTTTGTGATTTCGTTAACATGTGACTCTCATTTTCTAAGGTTCTTGAAAAGTTCTGATTCTATTCTGAGATAATTTGTTGGTAGATTCTAAATCCAAGTATATTAAATTTAATACTCACCAAATTATGTTGTAGAGATTTTACTGTTAAAGTGTTATTCCGAAGAAATGATTTTGAGTATAAGTAGATGCTGTCCATGACAAATAGAAATTTTAAAATCCTAAATGTTGAAAGATTTGCATGTTATGTTTGTACCACAAACATGAAATTACCCTTTTTAAAAATTATTATAAGAGCATGTTTTTGCTCAAACTTCAGAAAAGGACAAACAAGAAGCTATGTTTGTTGATTAAATTTGTACAAGTCGATAAGAAAACAACCACCAACCACCACGATAGCGTTTCTTCAGATTTCATTTCATCCCATTGAAGAATTTGAAAAGATCCTGCCATACTTCAACCACCAAGTCATAAATTTCTTAATTTCAGTTACGATTAAAGAACCAAAAAATTAATCAGTATCAAATGTTCAGTTCTTGTCTTCTTGCTTCTCCAGCTTCCTCCAAAATTAAAGAGTAACTTCTCTCTCTTGAGTTCTTCAATGGATAAGAGTCTCCAACGATCTACTCTGCTTGTGACCTTGTCACTCTTCTTCTTCTTCTTCTTCATTCCGTTATCAATCTCTGTTCCATTCATTGTCTTTCACGGTAATTGAACATCCTTCTTCTTGCTTTTTTTATTTTCTCAAGTTGATAATGAATCAAATGCACTAACGGATTTGACTGAAACAGGGATTCAAGATCAATGCTCCAATCCTGAAATAAGCAGCTTCACGCAGCTCCTTCTCAACCTCTCAGGCTCCCCTGGCTCTTGCTTGTAACCACTCACCACAATCTTGCAAAAGGTCTCTCTCTCTTTTTTGTCTTTGTTAATTAACTATGTGTGATGATCTTGTAGAGAAATAGGAAATGGAGAAGAAGATTCATGGTTCATGCCGCTAACACAACAAGTGAGTATAGCGTGTGAGAAAGTGAAACAGATGAAAGAGCTGAGTCAAGGTTACAACATTGTTGCACAGTCCCAAGGTAATTGCGTTGCTAGAGGCTTGATCGAGTTCTGCGACGATGCTCCTCCTGTCCTCAACTATGTCTCCTTAGGAGGTCCTCAAGCTGGCATAGCCAACAACTCCAAGTGTGATGTGAGATCTGTGAGTTCTCTTCTCTTTCTCTCTTTACCTCTGTATATGTCTCAATCACAGTCACATTCTTAATTAGCACTTTTTCTGTTTTTACACAGTCTCCAATGTGCAAGCTGCTGACAACAGAGGTCTACACTGACTACGTTCAAGTATTACCTTCTCTCTTTCTTGTTCTTCAAGATCCAAAAACCTTAAACCAAGATTAATTAACAACAACTCTAGTGACTCTGCAGGATCATTTAGCTCCAAGTGGTTATGTCAAAATCCCTACCGTAAACTCAAAACCTTTCTATCTTTCTAAACCTATTGGATGAATACTACTAGAATATAAAGAAAGCCGTTGCTGTCTGGTTTCTCAGGAAATGTCAGAGTATTTAAAACATTCAAAATTTCTGCCAAAGCTTAACAACGAGAGACCTAACCAGAGGAACTCCACTTTCAAAGAACGTTTCACCAGTTTGGACAACTTAGTCCTAGTCATGGTGCGCCTAAACCAATGATCCTTTCAGATTTCACCGAACAATTGTTGGATAAGCTCATTGATTTTTTTTTTTTGTCTTTTACATTTTATAACAGTTTCAGGGTGATACAATAGTGAGGCCTAAAGAAAGTTCTTGGTTTGGATATTACCCGGAAGGAGCTTCAACACCTCTTTTGCCTCCGCAACAGGTGAAAGAAAAATCTTAACCATTCCTCAATCATCCAGTCAACCTCTAGCTTGTCTTCTAGACTAATGCATATTCTTATCCAGACAAAGCTCTATACTGAGGACTGGATTGGTCTAAAAACACTGGATGATGCCGGAAAGGTGAAGTTTGTCAGTGTCCCTGGAGACCACCTCCAAATGGCTGAAGATGACATAGTGAAATACGTCTTGCCTTACATCAAGAACCAGCCAACGTTTTCTTCTTGATGCAGACTCAGTAGCAATGCAATGAAATACATTGCAATCTTGATGCAGAACCAATAAATAAGGCCTCATTGTTATGTGGTCTCTCAGAAAATAAAGAAGCTTTGTCGTCAATTTTCAAGAATGGTCAAATTTTATCCAAATAATTTTCATTTTAAACACGACCATGTTTATGAGATGAGGAAACTGAGTGATACGTAGAGACCAAGTACAGGTTCTTCATCAACTAATTGCTTCAGGGCTTTAGTGATTTACTTATGATCGAAGGAATCATGATCCCTGCTTGAATTTCCGGACGACGATTTCACTGGTTATCGGATGAACCAAATGAACCGGTCGACAAAAAAAAAATCAATTTTAATCATATTTACATTTATTTTCTTTAAATTTTTCATATTTAATGTTTCTGATATGTTAGATTACAGTAGTTTTTTTTTTTTTTTTTACAGTCGATGCTCATAAAACGGTTCATATAGCCAAACCGGATGAACACTATTAATATAGTACACATCATAAAAGAGATCTTGTGCACAATGTTAGATTATAGCTTATTTAAAAAAAAATTGATTTAGTTTAATATTTTTATAGTATTATAATTATATTAATTATGTTTAAATTAATATATTTAAAATTTAAAGCATAAATTTAATATAGGCAAAAAATTGAAATATTGATTAGTTTTTAATGCTTTGACCCTGTTAAATATGTATCTTCCAAATTTTGACCCCATAGATATTTTTTCTACCTCGGCCACTGCAAAAAACTCAAAATCCACAAGTGGATATGTCTTTACACTAGGAGGTGCAGCAATATCTTGGAAATCTTCCAAACAAACTCTACTGGCAAGATCAACAATGGAATCTGAGTTCATCGCTTTAGATAAAGCAGCAGAGGAAGCAGAGTGGCTTCGGAATTTCTTGGAAGATATTCCAATGTGGGAGAAACCAGTACCGGCACTGCGTGTACACTGTGATGTGATAGCCAGTCGGCTATAGCCCGGGCACTGAATACTCTCTATAATGGTAAATCTCGTCACATCAGGAGACGACATAAAACCATTAGACACTTGATCACAACCGGTGTAATCTCGGTCGATTACATTAAGTCAGCTGATAACCTAGCGGATCCGTTTACAAAAGGTTTGACAAGAGATCAAGTTTTGAAATCATCTAAGGGAATGGGTCTTTTGCCTATGACAAAAGAGGATGTTTGATGGACACCCAACCTTCGCGATTGGAGATCCCAAAAGGCTGGTTCAAAGGGACAACTAAATCAAACAGAATCTGTTTACAGCACTGCAAGACAATATGTCTGAGCCCAGCTCCCAAAATGATGCACAGTGCTTCCTGTAAGTTTAAAGGATAAGCGTTGCTTTTAATGATATGAGTAGCTTTCATATATATAAGGAGTATTAACAGGATACTTTTCTTATATGACAGGAGCTCAACGAAATCACCTAGTGAGTGTGAAATGCGGCCGTTTCTAGGAGGATGAAGTCCAGGCTATATTCTCTAAGTTCACTCATGATCAACCAGGAAAAGTTCAAGGCCACAATGAACGCAATAGAGAACTAAGTTCTACGAGGAAATGAAGCTGGGTTATAGCTGTTGTCTCGGTTTACATAAACATCCGGGTGGTTCAAGACATCATGTTCACCTCCTGGCTAAGTAAACCCGACAGTTATTAACAATGATTAGTTCAAGGCTGAAATATGCTACTACATCATACACAGTTAATTTTCGCCTATACTCTCGAAAGTCCTTCTGTCAGTGTCTGTAGAGTCTGCATGTATAGTCTTTCGAGTTAGTAGAGTCTGCATATGTTTTAGAGTCATTTCTATTCATGTGGGGGATTGTTGGAACCAAATTTTTAAGCCAAATGGGCTGAATAAAATTGTGGACAAGTGTGAAAAGAAATGGGCTTAGGCTCATGTAAAATGAATGAGAAAGTTAAGTGAGTTAAATGAAGGAGTACTTCATTTTGTCCCACATTGGAAAGAAGGAACTTTTTCCTCTTGTTTAAATATAGACATTTCCATACAATGTTCAATAGCATTTAGTGGGAGACTATGGACCTTGAGAGAAAGGGGGCCATTATGCAAAAAAAAACCACACACGCGCGCGCGCCGCCGCCGCCGTGCCGGCCGGGCCGGGCCGGGCTTGGGTCTTGGTGAATGTGGATTTTTCTTTTCTTCTTCATTTTCCTTTAGGCATTAGAAAAGCTCTTTCCTTATTCGATTGAGATTCCGATATTTTCTTTCACTTCCTCGGGAAAACTTTCAAACTCTCTCTGCTCAAATCGACTTCATTGTTTCCTTTATCGAATTTGGTTTTTGATACTTTGATGTCTGCATACAAGAAAACTCTGGTTCTTGATAACAATGGTTATCCCGTAGATGATCATTTTGATTCGCATCCTCGATCGAACATCTTCCTCGAGCAAATCGAAGACTTTCAAAAGGGTTACGGCATGGTGATTCGGGCTCCAAAGAAGCGAGAATCGGTGGAGAGGGTCCGGCCCGGGTATGGTTATGCTTATTTCCAATACTTTGCTGCATGTGGATTAAGTTTTCCGTTAATGGTCTTCCTTCTCGAGATCTTGTGGTTCTGAAGATCGCTTTGCCTCAACTCACTCCGAACTTTCTCCGTCCAGTAATAGCTTTGAAGGTTCAACAGATGTTCTGAAGGGATACTCGGTACAAACAGGGTCTTTTTATGTTACTCCTCGGACGAATGGGAAGGTTTTAGAGGGTATGCCGGCGAGAAACGATGACGGGGAGAAAACAGCGTTCTTTTTCTCTATCGATCGAACTTCAGTATGATACTTTGACTTCAAAAGACGGCCTAAAGTCGGGGCGTGTAGTTTTTGTTAGGATAGAATATAACATCGTTCAATTCTTTCAATCCTTAAATGGTATATCAATTAACAAAAATTCATTTTTGAACTGTTTTGCAGTAGTGCCTCACCGAATTCGTTTTGACGTAGAACTGCGAGCTCGAACCGAGGCTCTTCGTAAAGCATCTTATCTTTGGTTTTCGTTTATCCTGCAAAGGATTGTGTGGGCTTACGAGAATCTGCAGGCATGACCAGTCGTTCCAGAGAATCCCCTACCAGCACGAATCGTTCAAGCTTTAGCTTCTCGAACTTGAACTCATTCTCAATAAGGTAATACTTCGATAGATAGGTTCTGCTGAATCAAGATATCTTTTATTGTATTTGTAGAATTTCTAGCTCATGTTTTCAGCAGATAATCTTCGCCAAGTCCCTAACAGCAGCTTGATCGCAAGTGTTCCACTTCAACGCAAGATGTCTTGGAGGTTAACTTTACGCGAGCAGCAGCAAGCTTTCGGAAACCATCCCATGGGCGAGAGTTCGCGAATCCATCTTGAAGGTGGAGACAATGTGAAGGAGAGTGCAGCTACTATTCTTGATGCAGTTCGAGATTTTGAAACCGAGAATCAGCTTTTTGTTGCTTATGCTGGTTTTGAGGAATGCCTCAGCTAATCAGGATAATATCGCTTTTCTGAGCTCGCACTCTTGCGATACAGAAAGTAATGGCAGCGGCCATCGTCAGAGCAAGAGGCCAAGGACCAACATGATAATAATTGAGATTGCCAGAGCTTCTTCCAACAGTTCCTGCTCGAATGGGAGGTCTTTTACTGGAAAACTCGAGAACCCGATCGATGGTCTAATTTTGGGGGATCGTGGTAGCGTAGGTTACTTGCAATGCCACTTCAAAGAAACCGATTGTGCTCTTCCGCTATTGGAAAAGATGACGGAGAAAGAGGCTTATCTCGATATGGCAATGGAAAATGCGAGTGTAAACTTCATTCGTTTTCGTTTTATGTTTTGCTTTATTTGAGTAGGTGCTCGTTTTGACTGTTTTTTTGTTTGTTATGTCCTTTTTCAGGCTATGGAAGCGAACAACAAGTATGTGGTGATTGTCGAGCAGCGAATGAAGGATACTGCTCCAGCTGACATGAGAAGTACCATCAGCAAGCTGACAAGGTGAAGTGTTCTCAATCTCGAGAGGAAGAGACGGAGAAAAAGCTTGCTAGCATATTGGATCTCGAACGTCGCTGTGAGGTTTTGGCTGCTCAGCTGAAGGACGCTCAAGGCCAGAGTTACTTGACAATAGAGTTGTCTTATTTTCTCAGCGAGCAGAACAAAGATCTTGTTACCGTAAATGACAACTCGCTTCGTCTCACAGCTCATGCAACTTACCATCAGCTTTCTATGAAGTATAGCATATTCGTGCAGTCCTTCAAGGATATATGGGTAAAAAAATTAGCATACTGATGCCAAGATATCGGTCCAAGAGGCTACTGCAAATCTCCTTTTGATCCATAATCTCATAACTGGATAATCTACCTTGGAAGTGGAAGTCTCGAATTGGGAGAAAAGGGTGCTGGAGCTTGATGCAGAGGCTAAGGCCAAGGCTGTTTCTGATTTCTCATTGGGGAAGTTCAAGATGCTGCAGCTGTCCGAAGGATCAGTCCTTATGGAGATTAACAAGATTACGCATGCACCAAAGGGGTTGTATCAGTTTGGGATTAACATTTCATTGGTTAGTGCTTCTCTTGGTGGTCAGTCCCTGATACGGGTTGGGTACGCGGCCGAAGCTGAGAAGGACAAGGAGAACGTTGGAGTAGATGGTTGAGAAGGATGGCGAGCTCGAGAAAGATGGCGAGGCGCTGATCGCAGACGAGGAGCTGACTAAGGATCACTCCTTCTACTGCTTTTTATTTCCTTTCTTTCAGTAATCTTTAAAGACTTGGTGCCTAGCTTTAATCCTTAATACTTTTGTTTGATTTCCGTTTGACCTTGGTCATTATTATTGTTTGGCCTTTGGCCTTTTTATATGCTAAGTCTTTAGATGGTTTGGGTTTTGGAACTTATCGTTTGTTTTATTTAAAGTTTTTTTTTTTCAAATTGTCGTGCTTGAGTTTGACCATATATTGAACTTCTAAGACTTCCTGCTTGGGAGGGCTTTAATCTTTTATGCTTTTGTTTGATTTTTGTTTGAACTTAGTCATTATTTCTATTGGCCTTTGCCTTTTTGTATGCTAAGTCTTTAGCTAGTTTGCGTCTTGGAATTTGTTGTTTGTTTTGTTCCAAGTTGTTTTTCGAATTATGGAGCTTGAGTTTGACCATAGATCGAACTAGTGCTTTATTTGTTCGCGTTGTTCGACCAAATACTTTTAGTCGATTCCGCATGATATCGAGCCGAAGCTCGTTCGCGGGTTGGGAAGATATCTTGTTTTAATATGCGAATTTCGACAAGTGTTTCACATCGAATTTGTATGTTCTCAAACTGGAGTTCGATTGCGGATCGGATAAAAACTTTGTTTTATTATCGAATTTTGACTAAGTGTTTTGTCATCGAGTTGGTGTATTATGATTGGGTTTTAAGTGTAAGTCATTCTTTACCTTCACAAATTTGACTAGGTTTAAGTTAGTTAGTCTAGCCAGACACTTTTGATGGTTCATTTGTAGACCTTAGCTCATAAGTCAGAGATCGTTCTAAAAGATCTATGTCGTAATTCGTTTGAGGAAATCGTACGATTGTTTTGGATGGTTTTTCGCGTGAGCCCGACTAGGGTAAGGTTTGTATGTCGAGTTAAGTTTACTTGTGTTGTTGTGCGTGGACGTAATGAATCAAAAAAGTAATAAAAATATGTATCTTTATTGAATAAACGGAGTTGGTTACAATAGAGGCTTTGCGCAACAAAAAATAAAAAAGAAGTAAATATGAAGACAAGGAAGGATGGCTTCAGCTCGTAGTATATTATATTTAAGTAAGGAGGTGGTTGAACTCGATAGTGAGCTGCCTTCGTACCCTGTCGGGGGATCAAGCCTTTACATAGTTCTTCTATTGAACTAACCTCAAGACTTTTTGGGATCACGCTCAACCTCTTGACTGAGTCGTAACATCAAGCTCTCACTTGGCTTCAACTCGATGACGCCTTGTACGAGACTTTATGGGCTTATTATGAGCGGGCTTTCAGATCGAAGACACTTTAAATGGGCCTTTAGTAGATTGGATTTAGGTGACAAATCCGGGCCCAACAACATGTCCTTATTAGATACATGCGTAACCAAAAAAATCTCAAGAAAATATACATGTTGCGATCTCGTCACCACGCACAAGTTTATATAATATAATGTCCTAATCATTATGCTTAAAAATAATTAGCGTATCTAATAAACTTTAATACTCATCAATGTGTCCATATCTCATCAAGACACGGAAGATTGATATATGATATCTTGAGAATCATAGTGGTTTAGGTAAACAAAATTAGCATATCTAATAAATGAAAAATATCTTAAGTGTCAACATCTCAACGAGTTATTGGGTATGGCCTATATGGAAGGCCATATAGAAGATTGTATCCATTTTGGGTCCATCACTGTGATTCCAATCCTATAAAGGCACACAAAACACATTCGCAAGGCAAACCAGAGTAGCAAATAAGCTACCATCAAAATAATGGATGCTGCTACCGATGGTTCCTCTCCTTCTTTTCACCGAGGTGTCTTTGTTATTTCCTTTATTTCTTTTTTTTTTTAGATTAGGATTTTCATGGGTGTAATCTAGTAAATGTATGCTCTTGTCTGCACAGATTGCAGACATGGAGAATTTGTGTAAGGACCTTGGTGATCACTCCATAAAGACTTCTGTCAAACGGTGATCACCGAGGTCCTAACACATGCTCTCCATGTCTGTAATCTGCGCAGAAGAAGATCATACATAGCACGATTATACTCCTTGAATCTTTAATTTACGGAAAAAAAAGAAAAAAAAAAGAAAAGCAAAGAGACCTTGGCCAAAGTAAAACTGGTGACAATAGGAGAGGAATCGATAGCAGGATTCATTGTTGACCATAGCTTATCTGCTAATCTCCTTCTGATGCTAGTTGAGAGTGCGTTTAATGTACCTTAATTATTCAGTGTGATAATAATGCGATGAGATGAGCCCAAAATGAATTTTAATCTTACGGCCTTCCTCATTTTTCATAGATTTAGATAAATTCTTTTTACCCGTATAAACTAATGGGTTAACTTTATTAATATTTTTGGGTTTAGCGGATAAATTCATTAGCCAAATGGATTACCAAAAAGTTTACCACCAAAAAAAAAAAAAATTTAGAAGAAATTGAAGAAGACGAAAGCTATAAACAAGAAGAGGAAAGAAGAAGAAGAAGTATCGGAAGAAAATGACAATGAACAACTTATAATGGAGTAAAATAAGAAGAGATGAAATTAAGAATAAGTTGAAAAAATCAAAGATAGCGAAGATGTAGAAGAAGAATACAAAAGTAAATCGGAGAAGAAGAAGTTAAAGAAGAAAAATAATAGCCGTAGACGAAATAAAAGATGGAGAAGACAAAGACAAACCGAAAGAAATTGAAAGAATATGAGGTTTGAGAAAATGAATGTTGCAATAAATTATGAGAGAAAAAGTGAAAAGATGAGGAAGAAAAAATAGGAAAAGAAGAGGACTATGAGTCGATGACTATGACAATGGCGAATAAAAATCAAAAGAAAAAATAAATTATGAAACTAAAAAAAAAATGAACAAAAAGCCGAACAAAATGACACATACAAGACAAATTATAACAAAGACAATAAAAAGTCAAAAAGACAAATGCATAATTAAAAAACTTAAAAAAAAGGACAAAGAAGATGAAGATGAAGAAAATTAAGAAAAGAGAGTTATAGGGTGTGAAGACACACAGTTCCATTTCGTCCGCTTTGCTCCAACTTCTCTCTAGATCTAGATCTAGGATTTTGCCGGCGTCAGTCGGCTCCGGTGGCTTAGATAGCACCGGAGCTGAGTTTTCTTCTTGATTAGTTTGTTTACTTGTCTCTCTGTAGCCTTTTCCTCCTTCTCCTCTCTGTTTCTCAGCATCTTAGAAAAGTTTTATTTCAATTGGGGTTCAGATCTGTGGATCTAGATCTATCGTTCTGTGTTCCTTCCAAATGGCATCGATCCTGCTATTATGTGGAACAAGGTTAGCAGTCCTTTGGAGAAGAGATTAGTTTCTGGTTCTGTTCTTCTCGGTTCGTGTTTCGGTTTGGTGGGGTGGTGCTTCTTAGTGTGGTTTTGGCTCTATCATCGATGACAGAGGTTTCAGGTAAGTTCAAGTGGTTCTTCTAAAGGTCAATTTCACCATGTCATTTGCTCCGGCTGTGCTAAAGGCTTCTGATGCTAATTGCTTTTATCTGTTGAAGTTTTAGTCTGGTTTGAGGAGGATTTTAGCTCTAATTGTTGTAGTTTTTTTTCATTTTTTGGGCTTTCTTTCCGGGGATTTAATCTTCCTCCCTCGGCTTTGTTTACGGAGACTGTTTCGTCCGTCGTGTTTTGGGTTTATCCCCCTTTGTTGTCTTTTGGTTACTGTGTAACACCAGTTAAAATTTTATAAAAGTTCAGATGAAAAAAAAAGGGTGTGAAGAATATCAATAAGAAAATAGTAATGAGAAGGCGAGGATGATAAAAAAAATTGAAAGATAAAGACGAAAACAAATAAAAATCAGAAAGAGACAGATGTGTCGTAGACGATAAAGTAGAAGAATAGATTGTTGAGGTTTGGTCTTTTATGAAAATAAAATTGAATTAACTAAGATGGTTTTATCCACTACACCCAAATAACAAAAATTAGGTTTGAAAAGTATAAAAATATAATTAACTAATTATGGTATGTTATAAAAAGTATTTGTAAAACATTTGGTTTGACGTGAAAATTTAGACTATTTTATTTTAATGACCATATTTTGATAGTTTTCTTTATGTGTCAGTTTTTTTTTAAAAATATTGTAATGTTTGAAATATCAAAAATAATATTTTTAGCTTTAAATGTTTTATTTTTCCAAAAACATCTCATGCCTACACAAAGCGCAGGCCAACCACCTCGTAGCTTATTATATATTGGGTTTTGTAAGAAAACGAAAAATGGCAAATATAATTTTTTTCTTTTATTCGTTAGAATATGGAACATTTCCTGTAATAATGTGGCATGCAAAATATATATTTTCCTTTCTCCGTAATGGTTTAAACTTTTGCTTTAAGATTATTTATTTTATTTTTCGTTGATGATTGTGGTTATTTTAAAAACAAATTTCCCTTTTAACAGATTTTAATTAGGGTTCTTTTTCATTTTTTAACATCTTTTTAATTCTGTAAGTATTTTTTCTTTTTCTTTTTCTCTTCAATACACATGTCAAGATTTTAAAAAGAGTAAAGTTAAAAATTACACATGCTGTAATCTTGTGAGTTATAATTATCCTATGTGTATATAAGATGACTTATGTATATTAACAAATTTACAAATTAATTTGAGTTGTACCATATTTTTAGATTGTTTAAAAGAATTGGTTAATAATCTAAATCCAAGTATTTTATTTTAAATTTGATACTCACCAATTTTGTTAAGTTTCAGAGATGTTATTGTTTAGCTTACTTTTATCCAAATAAATAATGTTTAACTAGATCTTGACCTGTGCTGCCACAGCACGGGTTATTGAAATTATTGTTGGGCTGACAAACAAACAAAAACAATTTTGATTATTGATATTTTGGGCTCATTTTTCGATTTTTAAATGGGTCGGATTCAAAATTGAATGGACCTGATGGTATTAGATGTCTTACTAAGTAAA